GTTTTTAAAAATCCAATGTGTGGATCACATAATATTTCAAAAATTTTAACTTTTGAGTATAGATGATCCGCACTGTAATAAAATAACTGAGGTAGGTTATGCAACTGGGTTGGCCTCATCGTGAGTTTGATGGGTCAAATACATTTTATGTGTCATTTGATATTGTGAGCTGGCTTATCGTTCCCAACCAATATCCATTGCAATAAAATAACTGAGGTAGGTTATGCTACTGGGTTAGCTTTATCACGAGTTTGATGGGTTGAATGCTTTTTATACGTCATTTAGTGATGGGCATGTCATAAAACTCAAGTTATTTGAGTGATAGGCATGTCATAAAACTCAAGTCACTCAGGTATTGATTGCAGGTTGATGGGCAGAGTATATAGGCGTCTGATTTCTGCATTTTCAGTCTCCGTCATGTAACATTCATGATCATTGTCAACATGTGTGGACGATCACCTATAAGTAGCACTCCAGGAAAATGCTTAATCTGAAGTTACCTACCCTGAAAGCATACCCGAAAACATATCATGAAAACGGGTAGGTTTCTGCCATAATTCTTATAATATATTACCGCACTTGGCTACCCCTGACCACATATCGTCAGATGCAGTATATAACTTCATTTTTTCTTATATAATATTACTGAACTTATACACTCCGAGCATATACCCGAAGACATACTATCAACTGGGTATATAACTTCATTTTTTCTTATATAATATTACTGAACTTATACACTCGAAGACATATCATTAAAGTGGGTAGATATCTACCCTGAAAACATATCATGAAAACGGGTAGGTTTCTGCCATAATTCTTATAATATATTACCGCACTTACCTACCCCGAAAACATGTTGTTGAAAAGTGAAGTGTTCTTCCATATTTATTACTGAAGATTACTTCACCCAATGCATATACTTTAACCATATACTTAAGATGAAGTGTTCTTCCATATATATTACTGAAGATTACTTCATCTTATCATATCTGATCACATGCTATCAAAAAATAAAGTGTTCTTCCATATATAATATTTCTAAAGTCCGCTACATTTGTATCTGGCCTAGTTTCTTGAGCTTTTTCTTATGATATCTTGATCTTGCTCGATATTTTTTAGCATGAATATCACAATAATCATAACCAGAATAAGTTAACTTACCACATTCTTTGCAAGGTATACATGTGGGAGCATCCCAATGAACTTTACACCCTTCAGGCCAATAGCATCCTCGATTGCAAACTTCTCCAGTCCTAAGAATATAGGGACAACAATAAAAAGCCATATCTATATACTAGTTAATAAAGATATTGATAATTATACTCCGGAATTAATTTTCATTTTAAACTTTTTTCTTGCGAATAATATACCATCAGTTTTAACATAGCAAATAAAAAAAATGACAACACATAATGCACAAGTGATCTGGTACGGGGGTGGGGAAACCAATGACTATTCAAGCGATTCAGATAAATATATCCAAATGTGAATCGGAAAATTGCAGTAACTATGGTTCCGACTATGAGTCAGATACTGAAACAAGTACTATTAAGCCTCAAATAACCCAATCTCCTAAAGTAGAAGAACAGGTGTTTAATACGACATCTCTCACAGAGCAAGTGAGTCCCACATATTCTAAACGGCAAGAAAGATTCGATGAAAAATTTACCCAAAAAGATGTGATGAATAAAATCCGTAAAATCGTTTCTTCACCTGCCAGAGATATGTCAAACAATAAAGGATCATTAGATGATATACATTTATGGGATTATCTCTTACCTAATTATGGAGCAAAAGAAGGAATTAGTCTGCTCGATGCGTACACACGAGAAGAATTGGTTGATAGATTAGTCATCCAAGTAGAGCAAGGGGTTATTATAAATACTCGGTTGTAGATGATATCTCAGAAGTGTATGGTTTACCTGGAATTCACGAATGTATTAATGGATAAAGACCTCTAAGGCCTGTTATTGATATCGATGCCTCTAGTGAAAAAATGGGATTAGAAAAGGTTAATGCTAGAGATGTATTCATTTGTATTTGTTGTTCATTTATAAGAGCATTATACCGAATCCTTGATTGTAGTTGGGAAGAAATTCTCAAAGGACTGGTAATTGCTACATCATCCGACTCTAGTAAATGCAGTTATCACCTTCTATATGCTCCAACTTTACTTATTGATTATCTAGAGCTCAAAGAATTCACAGAATTAGTATACAGATTAACCGGGGAAAAATATGGTAAGTTTATTGATAGGGGGTTACCTGGTCAAAATTTCTGTCTCCACTTAATCGGTTCAGCAAAAAAAGACCGCGTGAAGCGCATACTTCATTTCTCACTAGATAATGGATGGAATGATCTCAATGATGCCAGAGTTCAACCACCTACTAGTTTGAGATATGAAATAAGACCCTGTATACTAAGTATAGAAAAAATAAATAATCAGAAAAAAATTATTGTGGGTCAAGATGCGTTAAAAAAATATGCGAATCTAATTTTGCAGAAGTATTCTGAATATCTTAGGAATTGGGATATTGAAGAAAAAAATTCCCAATGGTATGTATATTTTTATCAAAAATCAAATTTAGAATGCCCCTCTGTAAACATACCCATACCAAGGACCAGAAATGGTATGGATATGTATATAAAAGTGGCTCGTTTATTGTGAAATGTTTCCAGCAAAATAGAGATGAATGAGGAGAAATTTTCAACGACCCATCTATTGCAGAAAAAATCCAACAAAAAATAAAAATAATGTATCCACCCCCAGCCCTCCCAAAATAAAAGGCCCAAAGTTCCCAAAGCCCTTTTTAGAAATGCCGAGTTGGGCTAAATGTGAATCTCCCCTTACCATGACAGAAGTGTATGAGAAGCAATGTGTAGAACCTTTACCTAAAGAAGGTGATGTATATCTAGGGTCACCTTGGGAGACAGGAAAAACTTATACTTTAGAGCATCTTACAATTCCTGATGGCGTAAACTTACTTGTATTATCTACACGACACACTTATTCTAGTGCCGTTACTACAAGGCTCAACCTCAAATCGTATACTGATATCAATGGTAATATTAACCTCCCAGACCATCAAAGAGTAGTGTGTCAAATAGAGAGCTTACATCGCATTATTAATAAATATAGATACGAGAAGAAATGTAAATGTTCTCCGATACCATATGATTTATGGCTTGATGAAATAGTATCTATAATTGCTCAAGCCCACACCCATTTAGCAGGGCGATCAAGAGAGGAATTATATAAATTAATTCAAGAGGCGAGGTGGATTATTGTTATGGATAATGATCTTACAGACCTTAATATCGAATGGGTAAAAAACCTTCGCAGAAATAAACTCTTCTCAGTTATCCATAACACTTATCAACCCCAAAAAGGTAAAACATTTCGCTTGGCTCCTAATAAAGAAACTGTATTAGCCAAACTCTGGGAATGGGCTAAGCAAATGTCTTCATTACCTCCCAATGAACAAAAAAGTGCATCTCTTATCTGTCATCTCAGAAAAGATGTACAAGGAATTGTTCGTGCTCTTAGAACCAATTTTCCCGAATTACATATTAAAAATTATCATGGTAAGTCTGATCCGGCTGAAAAGGCTCAAGATTTTGGTAATGTAGAAGAAGCATGGAAAGAGGTGGATCTTGTTGCATATACTAGCACTTTAAAAATAGGGTTTCTTGTACTAACCATAAGTTTGAGTGGGCATTCTGTCTCTTCAACAGCTATATCAAAACAAATGCTGGAACAAATCAAATGTTGTTCCGTATGAGATGTATTAAGGATTATGTATGTTATATTGAGCAAAGAGCATCTAATGCTACTATTACAGAAGAGGGACTATTTAATTGGTTATTAAAAGCAAAGCGAGAATGTCTTCCTCAGGAACTCCAGAATAGGGGAGTATTCCCAGATGTAGAGTCTATTATTCGAAATAAGGGTATTCCAACAATTTGATTATGGGTGGCATATATGTTGGAAAAATTCTGATCTCGTCGTTTATATGGGTGGAGAATGGTAGATTTTCTTAAAAAGGCAGATATGGTAGTTTCTATAATAAAAGCCACTCCAAAAGCTAAAGATAATACCATGACATTAACTGAAACAGTAAAGGGGCATTCTTCGGTTATTAAAGCAGAGGAGATTTCAAAGATTGCTAATGCTAATATTCTCAATCACGAGATGGTCGATCACCTAGAGAACAAACCAAAGAAGACTTTAGAAGAGATGCATGCTTTAAGCCGGTACCATATTGCAGATTGCTATGAAATATCACCTGAATCTTTAACTGAAGAATTTATTACAGACTATGGTAAATATGACCATATGAGATGGTTTAGAAATCTCCGAAAACTACGAGATGCTGGTACCGATAACATGACAGCAGTAGAGGCCATCACCCATGAGGATTATAGGAATAATAGGCTTACAACCATTACCCAAGCTGAGAAGCATCGAATTGGTCTGGAAATACTAAAGACTCGTACACCGGTTAAAGATATTGATGATTGAAATAGATATAAAGTTAATGATGTCAAAACGTGTTTAAACTCACCAGAATCGATACAATACCTCCAAAATTTAGTACCAAAAATGGCTCAGGTTCTTGATAATACAGATGCATCTCGTAGTGCTAAAAAATCTGGTTTAAAATCGGATAAAGCAAAACTTGGTTTATTAAATTCAGCACTTTCTGCAATCTATGGGATAAAGTTTAAAACTACTAATAATAAAAATACGCATTACCATCTAGTTGGAGCATTTGACAATGAGGATGCTCCCAAATTACCATCATATCAAACGGGTGAAGGACCCTTTTACGAAAGTGGTGAGGATATCTGATATGGGTACAGTAAACTCTCACCCGATGAATTAGAACCCCCATCCAATTCTATCTCACAAGATACTCAGGACTTATTTGATATCGTTTAAAACGGGTATTTAGAATCTGTGAAAGGGGTTTTTGTGACGCTTAAAATGATACTTGTAAAAAAATACCCTATTACGAAGACCATTTTTGTGATGTTAAAATCAGGATCTATATAATTATGCATCAGCTTCTATTCTCTGCGCCTTTTGTCTCTCATACCAATTTCGAAAATAAACCCTCTTCGCATGCTTAGGACAGTATCCCGTCCCGGAATTGTTTCCTTTTCCGCAGATACCACAAGGAATTTTTGCTAAATTTTTTGCCACATTTTTTTCATATAATTTCCAGTGCAACGAACACCCTTCAGGTTGCCAGCAACTTTTTCTGCAAATCGAACCATCTCTTTTAATATATGGACAGGTAAAACGTCTCGAACTATCTCTTTTAAAGTATTGATAGGTTGAATTCCCCATTCAAAGTGTTTTAATATATAACGTATAAAAAACCGTTTCACTTTTTAGAATATATTTAATATAAAACCAATTTAAATCTTTTCAGATTACAATAATATATTATATTCGAAGTATTGCTTATAACCACTCATATTCCATAAAACTCTGTATAAATACTAACATATTTTTTACTCATATTTTCATGTATAGTATATAAAAATCAATTTAAACTTTTCCAAATTATTTTGTAATATTATAATCAAACATATATTGACACTATATACCACACCAATACTACACAAAAATGTATACCCAAGAGCCGGAATATACTAAAGAAACGATTACTGCTGAGCAATTATCCAAATTGACTAATCGTTGGAGAAAGCCAAAAATCTATAACCCCAAAACAAATCGCATGATTGCAATCGATGGGCCAACATATAATAAATTGATACGTGATGGATATGTGCATTGGGAAGAAGAAGAACTCTTGATCCCTCCATCACCATTTGAGAATTATATTAACGAAGCAAGCACAGACACGAAGTGACATTATTCCATAATAGGTGCTAAAAAATAAAACACAATGCCCAATTAATATAGCCTGGATCGCAACTCCGAAGCTATAAATTTTTTTGTTATATTTATGTATTGGTAAATTTCAAATCAACGGACTGACCAAGGCATTAACGTGTATCGTGTACCTGACACATACCGATCATTTTTTCCAGGATCTCTTTAAGTAAAGCTATATCCTCTTTGATACCTTCTATATTTTTGGTGATTTTATTATGCAGGGTTATGGATTCTAAAACTTTCGATCTATTCCGTGCCTTATTCATATTAATATCCATTTCCCAATATAATTACATTAATCGCTACCCCATTCAATATTTGGGTATATATACTGACATGGGATAATTAATTTCAATTTGAAAAAATATTTTTCATAGTTATAGTCCACACAATTATACCATAACAACAATGTCAAAAGTTGCAACAAATTTCGTAAATCAGTATAACTTAACTCCTCAGATGGGTATAGCTGAGCTTGGTAATTATGCTGAAGAATTGGTTAAACATTTGAAAGATGCGAAGGCCCGTGATCATGCACGAAATCGGATCCAGAAATTAGGATTTAGTAAAGATCAAACATATGCTTTAATTCCTGTCCAAACTTCTGGAAGACGCGTTACAGGTAGGGAATCAGTTAAAAAACTTGCTTTGTATATTAAGGAGAATGAAGGATCATTATGGTGTGATGAATGGCAGACCAATTGCTCCAACGACTAGAGAAAAAAATACTGAGATATCAGATATTATAGATCTATACAATTACTAATCACGCTTCTTTGCTTTCACCACTTTCACAGTAAAATCTTTATCATCATTAGACGATTCAAACTCAGACCCAGATTCAGATGTGGATGAGGACTCAGATGCGGTATTGTTAAAAATTGGTTTTTTTCTAGCTTTGCATGGAATATGTTGCCGAGAAATATCTGGGTTTGCTATCGCATTTATAATATCATTAGATTCCATGATAAAATTATCTATCACGTGCGTAGCACTATGTCAACATAATTCTAGTTATTAGAATACATTTTATTAGAATACATTTTCAGATGGCCGAGGCCTTTTTTCTCACTAAAAGATAAAAATGTTCCCCCCAGCTTTCTTTCAAGTCTATGATTACCTGCCGAAAAAAAATTATGAAATTATTTTTGAGGGGGCGTCCGAACTCGTCAAACCTTCTGCGTTAAAACTTCAGCCATTACATATTTGGTTTCATCTATAGTTAGATTTAAGACGTATAATGGGGGATAGATCTAATCCGGGCTATTTTTAACTTAAGTCAAAGACGCTGGTTGCATGCACACATCATACATGTATCACCTTAGTGTCTTAGGAAAAATTAATCACATGCGTTCCGTTTCGGAACAAGAGCACACATTAACGTTGAAGGGAGATCAAACTTTGTTTGTTATTTTTTTCTAATGATTGACAAAGCGCCAAAGCGTCAAAGTGCATTAAAGAACTTTCACATCATAAATCAGATAGGCTTGTCTGTAAATACATCATATTCAAGTGCCAATATTTTTACTATATCCCAACTAATGAACTACGATAATCTTATTTTTCCTTTTTCGTTTTCTGTGGTGATCGGTACTCCTGTGATCGGGCATTCACTAACACTTTTCCACTAGCGAATTTTTCATTAAAAGCCCTTTCCTTCATAAGCTTGAAACGGCAAACCGTAAGATTCAACAGTTTCTGCAAACAGCAAGGAAGATGAGTATAAAACTATAATTTAAATACTGGTTTTTGGATTGTTACCAACCTTAACCCGAAGCATAATGCGTGAAACCTTAATGATAGACCCAAGTTCCGAATATGTCGATGGAATATCAAAGTCCGCCAAAATTATTGATGAATAAAATCCACCTCCTATATAAACAACTAGGAAGGCGCGAATAAAAAAACAATGAGATAAGAATCCAGGCATAAGAAGCTTGGTGGTAGCTCTCAATACTTGTTTTGACAGCATTCCTCCGCCTTCAACTGATATAGCTTCAACTAGAGTTCTATGCATGTCTCTTAACGTCTTCTGAGCCTTTAAGGTATTCGAAAGGATCTTTCTTTCGTTTTCAATTCTAGAGCCGGTGCGCTCGCAAAGTGAAAATTCGCGACCATACGGCAAATCTTTTGCTAGATCATGTTTCTGTTAATTTAAGTTAGTATTAGTAAGTAATATTAACAATGAACTCTCCAAAATCTAGTGTACCGTAAACATCCAGTCCAAATGATAGCCTTCTGCTGTTTCTGGGGCATCCATTGCTCCAGCTTGACGATCTCGAGAGGCCCTTGATACCATCTCCCCGCTTATTTAAGAACAATTATGTATTATTAACAACATCGAAAATACTTAGAATTGACAGTAGAACTTACAAGTGACTGTCTAGAATATTGTCAAAACACGAAAATAGGTGCCGTTTGATGAAGACATCTATGTCTCTTTCAGAATTTTTCCGCTGGGGAATTCCTTTCGCAAGCATTTCACATCTGGTTAAAGTTATGGTTAAGGAACTAAGCGGAATACATGCAGAATAATAAATTTTCTGAATTAACATGAATTGAATAACTTACGTAAATCGAATCAAGTCCAAAATAAATTGCACATCAGGGTTCAAGTAGTCTTCTTCCTCGATAGAAGATGTTGGCTTTACCTTATCATTCGTATCTTCATCGTCAAATAAAGAAACGCTCAAGCTTGATGTCTCAACGTTCTTCACCATTTTCTGAATTTCAAGGATAGCTCCATGAAATCCTTCGAGTGCCACTATTTTTCCAACCTTACTGAGGTGATCGTTATCAAGCTGGGATTCAAAACGTACGTTAATAAAATAATTGAAATAATACAAAATCAAATGAAACAAAATATAAAATGCTAAATTATCAACACTGACCTTAGCAAGAGCCTGTAAACATCTCTCAACTGAAGGTTCCAGTGTGGTCCAATCTTCAGTGGGATGGCCTACATTAAGGGCAGATGCAAATACGGCGACCAGATCCGACATGTCCGCTTCAGTCAGAAAATCTGATGTACTTTTTAGATCCGAGGCATCTATTATTCGCCACCAGATCGGGCTAAGAATTAATCAAGAATTAATCAGGATTTGTCGTTACAAAAGATAAAAGTGATTATATACTGTACATAAAAAAAATACTTTAGAATCAAATAGCAAAAAAAAAATACTTTAGTGACGATTCATATCTGTCAGACGGATCCGTTTGTGAGGTCAAAAACTCTTGTCGTCTTACTACTTTCTCTAGCCAGGTTGGCATTGGTTCATCGAACTCCCAACAGATCGGCTGAGGTTCATCATTGGCAATCTGAACACACATAAGAAGGCTTAAGAAAAAACGCTTTTATTTACTAAACATAAAATGTAATTACCTCAGGCACAGTTAATGGACTGAACTGGCGTTCAGGAGTTCGTTGTTGAGCCTGAGACTGCAAATCAAGTGAGACATCACTTGAAATGGGTTCCTCCTCTTCATTATTTTCATTTGGTTTGATCTTCTTCTGCACCCTCTCCTCTAGACCAAATTCTATGTCTGAATATTTTTTATATCCTCGTCTTGCTATTTGATGAACATCATGTCTTCCCCTTTTCTGTAACAATGAATTCAACAAGGACTGAATAAAGGTACTGTTAAGTATAGGAGGTAAACTTGAATAAGTCACTTACCTGGGCGATTTCCAATTCCAGATCAACCACATCAGCCTCCAAAAGTAAAGATGAGATTTGTTCCTTCTTCTTCCAAATTTTATTATCACTTTTCTGTATGCATAAATGTATGTAAATAGTTAGGCATAACAATGAGATACTGGATAGAGTTCACAGTGCCACGATGCTTGCTCGACAACGTTTCTATGCCCCTACGCTCGGTAATAGCCGTCGGTTTTTGCACTCGGGAAAACCTTTCCAACACTCGGTTGCCGGTTTAGGCATAGAGTACGTCGCGCGTTTTGATAGTCACGCACACGTGGTGCTACCTGTCGGTTTTTGCACTCGGGAAAACCTTCTCAACGCTCGGTTGCCAGATTAACTATCAAGTACGCTGGCACGACAAAATTCGCGAAGTCAAAAAACTAATACTTTCCTTCAATTCGTCCTGCCAATGACAAACCGTCTTATAAATAGGATGGTTTTCATCATACATCTGCTTCAAGCATCTTAGCTCACCACCCAAGGCTGAGTGAGAAATACGTTTATTAACCTGTGACGAGTCTAGGTTTTTAAGCAAGTAAAAGTCCCAATCTTTTATGCTTCCCCAAGTGTTAGGTTCTCGATCCCAGTAATCTAAATAGCAAAAGGTTTGTTTTCTCATTATTCTGTTAAAAATAGGAAAGTAAAGTAACAGACTTACTTGGGTGTTTCAGCTTTGAACGTTCTTCTTCTGACATATACGACATATCAAGATATTTGCGAACAAGAAAATTTTTAAATATCTGTTACAAAAAATCTGATTACTTTCGTTTTCTGATTTGATTGATAAAGGATAAAAAGCTCGGGCACATGATCATAGTAATATGCAAATACCAGAAAAAACTTTTCACAAAGAAAATGCAACCAGCGGATCACACAGTTACATCATGCATAAAAAGTTCCATGACCTTCCATTGGTATATGCTGATCGAACATCTGTATTACGCAATCGATTTTCAGGCATGTGATTTTATTTCATAGTCATAGTAATAATCAATTGATAATGCGTCATTCTATATCGGATAATCATTTTCTTCCATAGTTTCATTGAAAAGGTTCTTAAAATTTTGCACAATTTCAGAATTTGAAGATGATGATCGATTCGAAGCTGGAACAGATAAATACAAAATTGTTAGCCTGGATCATTGACATGAAAAGGTTGAAAAAAAAATGAAACGCTTACCTTGAGAACTATTTGTCAATTCACTTGAAGCACCTCCCGAAGTTTGTTTTTGTTGCATCTCTTCGTATAGCAATTGGATTTTTTCAGTAAGGTCATCAAATTTTTGATTAACGTCTTCGGATAGAAGTTTCTGCGCATCTTTTAGTGAAGTAAGAGTGATATCGGTTTCCCGTTTTAAATTGTACAGAGCAAAGCATGCAATTACAATGATTAGGTAAACTGGGAATTTTCCTTCGATAATCCACAATATGACGACAATCAAGATTGGTATAAAAATGAAATAATTTTCTGATGGCGTTTGTTTGAAATATTCTAAGATATTTGTATCCATCTGTAGGGATTAATGTGAGCGCATAAACTCATTAAAAGGAATACTCAATAAAAAACAATCGATACATCAATATAAGTCAGAAACCACTTACTTTGGTATAATAATAACAAATATATGACTAGTTTTTAAAAGAAAATTTTGATGTAGTTTTGATTAATTTATGACGCTTTATTAATTTATTTATTTTTTGATTGATTTAACAGATTTTATTGCTTTGCAGTAACTTTGTAGGTATATTTATTTGAACGTTATAGTTATGAAGTAGAAAAATTATACGAATTCGAATTCGAGCTGTTTTTATGTACATTTCAGAATTTCTCCAGCGCGGATGATCAATTGTTAAGGATACGCGCCATTAAAGTTATCAATAATCATTGGTTTTTCGAATTACACGGTCAGCTCATTAAAAATCTATCTAGTATGGGCAATCCGTTACCTTTGCCGATCATAATTATTTGTGTATTTATTTTGATAGGTAGAATCTAAAACTTTGACATTTCTTATATGACGCACAGGCCCTCATTCGATGTCAAAAAATAAGCTTAATCATTTTTATACAACAACAATTCATACCTCTTATTTATTCGTAAAACAGAGAAGATCCAGTGATCACATAATATTACACGACATTAGATATTTTTTCTTGCCAAAGTGATCGGTGTAAAGATTCTTTATGCACACGTGATTTTGATGAAAAATAAAGCATGGACATCCACACAATTCGATCGAGACAAATGGTTACATAGAACCTTACTTTATTGATATATAAAAAATGTTACCGAAATAACAACATAA